AACAAATACATTCTATATTACTATTATAAACAAATTTGATTCTTTTCATTTAACAATTGATATGTATGGATTTTGATCCTCTCATACTGTTTTGATCCTGATTTAGATCCTCTCATACTGTTTTGATCCTGATTTAGTCACATATTAACTGAAAAAGTATAGAATTCTGGATATTTTGGATTTTCCATATTCACTTAATTTTTCTGTATTTCTACGTGTTGTTAGAGTTTTCAACATTTTTTAAACTCTAACCCACACTAAACCACTTAGGAAACTAATCCATATTAAAATTTTACACTTAAGGGAATGAAAACGAAAGGATATCTTTGTCTTGTATCGTTCAACAAAGTATCGTTCAACAATACATCCCTCTGGTCGACTTCGGTTTTTCACATATCCTTTCAATATTTTCATATAACGTTCAACAGGGTACATCCATCTCATATAGGCAGGTCCACACAGTTGTGTCTCTTTCACAAGATGAACAACTAGATGTACCATTATGTCAAAAAATGATGGAGGAAAATACATTTCAAGCTCACACAAAGTAATAACTATTTCTTTTTGCAATGTTGGTAAGATCGCAGGATCGATCACCTTACTACAAATAGACTTAAAAAAAACACAATTTAGTTATTGCGCCTCTCACTTTTTCTGGCAAAATAGAACGTATACCTATTGGTAGAAAGTGTTCCATTATAACATGGCAATCATGTGTCTTTAAACTCTTTAGCTTGAGGTCTTTCATAGAAACAAGTCTTCTAATATCTGAAGAGTATCCTTCTGGAACTTTAACTTCACTCAGAAACTTACACATTATCTTTTTCTCCTTTCTAGACAAAGTATGTGCAGCAGGTGGTAGATATGTGCGATTTCCTTTCTTCAAGGGTCCTAATTCATTTCTTATTCCCATTGCTACCAAGTCCTTTCTTGATTTAAGGTCATCCTTAGGCTTTCCTTGTATATTGAGTAACGTACCAATAACACTTTCAAATACATTTTTTTCAATATGCATAACATCAAGAAAATGTCGTACATACAACGACTTCCAATACGGCAACTCAAAAAAAATTGACCTCTTCTTCCACCCACGCGTGACAAGCGTATGAGCAAAAGGCTTGCCAAACTTAGTACTCACATCTTTCACCTTTTCAAAAATTTGTTCGCCGGTCAATGTAGGTGGAGCTCTACGTTGTTCTGAATTTCCATTGAATGCTTTTCTCCACCCACGGTACTGATGATTAGAATTTAAGAATCTACGATGACCAAGAAAGACATTCTTCTGACCAAACTCCAACCGCGTCCAATCTGTTTTTTCTTCACAAATAGGACACGTACATTGACCTTTAATGCTATACCCCGATAGATTTCTGTATGTTGGGAAATCATTAATTGTGCCAAATAACATGGCCCTCAAATTAAAACTTTCTTTCCTATATCCATCATAAACCTCCACACCGTTCTCCCACAAACTCTTTAAGTCTTCGATTAACGGGGTCAGGTATACGTCTATGTCATTCCCTGGTTGTTTAGGGCCAGAAATTAGCATAGATAACATCATGTACTTACGCTTCATACATAGCCATGGAGGTAGGTTATAAATCATAATAATTACAGGCCAGGTGGAATGTGAGATACTTTGCAGACCATGCGGATTCATTCCATCAGTCGATAATGTCAAGCGAAGGTTTCTAGCTTCTTATCCAAAATCAGGATAATCATTATCGATTTTCATCCATTGTGGTGAATCTGCCGGATGTCGATACTTCCCATCTATAATTCTATCATATGCATGCCAAGTCAGGTGTTTTGCATCTGTTTCACTATGAAACATGCGTCTGAATCTCGGAATTATAGGAAAATACCATAAGACTTTTGCTGGTGACAACTTTTTCTTATACCGAGATACACCGCATTTAGGACACTCGTTTAATGATGCATATTCATTTCGAAACAAAATGCAATCATTTGGACAAACATGTATCTTATCATAGCTCATGCCAATAGAGCATAACATTTTTTTAGCTTCATAGATTCGATTGGGAAGAACATTATCCACCGGAAGCATCTCTTGAAGTAGGGCTAACAACTCTGTGAAACTTTTATCCGACCATCCGTTACCCGCCTTTAAGTTGTACAACTTTAATACCGCGGACAATCTTATGAAAGTAGTGCAACCTTTATACAACGGTTTCTCTGCATCGCTTACCAACCTCTCAAACATCTTGGGACAATCTTGAAGATCTTCTTCAAGTGCTTCTGCAATCTCTTCGACTCGATCACAATCATATGTATCTCTGCCATTGTACTTTGAAGCAAAGGTTGTATTATTCACGGGTTCGACATTCTCGTTACTTATCTCACCATGTAATGTCCAACATGTATAACTTCGATCAATTCCATGTCTCATTAAATGAGATTCCAACTGAACAGCGTCAATTCGACGCCCATAACAACAACCTAAGCAAGGACATGTAATCCTACTGGGGTCTTTGGCGTGTTCAACAACAAACTTAACGAATTTCGATACCCCATTCTCGTACTCTTTAGACAATCGATTGGAAGACATCCATTTTTTATCCATACTAATTGAGTAGTCTAAACTAAACTAAGAAAGTTAAACAAATGCGGAGAATACCTGTAAAGAAATCACTAACTTCTAAGAAAGCTACACAGTAGGATGCTTCGAAACGATCACAACCTTGCTCTTCACAAGTAACCCCTATAACAGACAAAATTAATAATATCATCAGCATTAAATAATTTTTCGACTAACAGTAAATATATGAAATTAACAAATATATGAAATTAACATCAACAACGAAATTAACAAATATATGAAATTATTCGAGTAAGTTAATTTTTCAACTAACAGTAAATCAACAATATTTAATCCTTTTGGTGTAAAAGAATGCACGACAAATATGATCTTATTTTTGAAAAGCTCTTGATTTCTTTCTAAAAAATTATACTAAAATATAAATCATTTTATAATACCAATAAATCATATTATTATTTTTTCTATTTTATCTATTTTCTCATATTAACTAATAAATCTCATATACATCTCATATTAACTAATTATTTATATCTTCTCATAACTCGTCAAAAGGGTTACAATATTTGTCTTTAACGCAATAGAGTCCTCAAGGCAAACTCTAAACAACTCTATAATAATTTCCACAACTCAAAATGACTCTAAAGTATTTCAAACTATTCTAAAGTACTCTAAAATGCTCAAAAAACAACTATTTCATATAATACTCATCAAATGTGGCTATGTTCTATAATGCTCAAAATGACTCTAAACTATTCTATTACTTGATGTGATACTCAAAATCAATAAGGTGGCTATGTTCTATAATGCTCAAAATGACTCTAAACTATTCTAAAGTACTCTAAAATGACTCTAAACTACTCTAAACTAAACTATTCTATAATACTCATATAAAACTATTCTAAACTATTCTAAACTATTTTATAATGCTCAAAACGACTCTATAATAATTATCTCCCTAGATTTGATTAATTTGAATAAGGTGGCTATGTTCTATTACTTGATTTGGTGTAGTCTCCATGCATGCATTATTGGCAACTATGACATGGAAAATAAATAAACTTCAAGATTAACAAAAACAAATTCATTGTGACATTTCAACAAACACCTTGTATACAAAACTCAAACCAATATCAAAAGAGTAATGCTCATCAATAGTATCAACAAAAACAAGTCAATAACTCATAAAGAAGTAACACTAACATCTTCTAATCCAGAAAAATGCAATACTATTTTTTTAATCCAGAAAAATGTCGTAACAATGGCGGAAATACCGTAACAGTGGAGGCGAAATGTGCTACTTTGTGTGTCGGACGGAGGTGGGCGTCGGTCGGACGGAGGAGTGAAACGGACGGAGGAGGAGAAATGCAAATAGGGTTCTGGTTCGCTGGAGGAGAAAGAAAAACTGAAGAAAGTATACGCGCGATTCTGGTTCTGTTTTAGTTCTTTAAAAAATTCTGTAATATATTTTAACTTAATTCTGTGTTAATTTTAATACCTACAGCAGCGCTTAAAAAGCGCTTTCTTTGAAAACCATATAGCAGCGCTTTTTGAAGGAAAGCGCTTTCTTTGGCACACCCTACAACAACGCTTTAGAAAAGCGCTTTCTTAGGTCCGACCTACAGTAGCGCTTTATTAAAGCACTGTCTTAGCCCATACATTTAGCAGCGCTTTATTTAAAGCGCTTTCTTAGTGTAGCCTTTTTAGCAGCGCTTTTTAAAAAGCGCTGTCTTAGGTATGCTGTTTTTTTTCTTTTTTTTTATTACCATTTAGCAGTGCTTTTTATTATCCTTTAGCAGCGCTTCTAAAAAGCGTTGTCTTAGTTATGCTGTTTTTTTTATTACTCTTTAGCAGCGCTTTTCCTAAAAGCGCTGTCTTTGTGTGCGCTGCTAAAAGTCAATTCTGTTGTAGTGAGTAGTTCTAGTTTGGTACATCACATTATGATTCTTACCTATCTTTTCCCTTAGAAGTAATTGCAAGAGTTTTCTAACTGTAAACAACAGTATCAAACAAACAACATCAATTACAAAAAGAAAAACAACAAATAGTTTTTTCATATTTAATGCTGGAAAACAACACACTACTAGCTGCTTATTTTTCAGCTAGTTTTATTTATTCTCTCTATCATCCATTTATTCATAACTTACCTATCACTTTCCTCAAGCTTTCTACCAAAATATCTCTCCATAGAGAATACAAAAATACATACTCATTAACTTATATGATTAATTTCTATGCACCGACAGTATAAAATTTTCTACACATACATCCGATCAAACTAGACTATCACGTCTCTTGATTGGATCTATGTGTTAAATAGTTTTACACTGTCAATACATACAAATTAAATCATTCAGTTAATCTGCCCGAATTAATAACTATATATATATACATATATACAGTATTACTTTCTAAAATTCATAAGATGATATCAATTCAACTTCTAAAGCTTGAGAAACACAAACTCCTCAATGGCAGGGACAGCTCCAATGTTGTCAAGAGCTTCCTTATTTGGTTCTTCATCTACGCAGATAGCCATAACAGCTTTCTGGCGGCGAGATGTTCTTCCGACGCTCATAAAGCTCACATTAACATTTTGCTGGCCTAATATGTTTCCGACATGACCGATCATCCCAGGTTGATCGGTCTGTCTGCACAAAATCAGATTTCCTTCTAAGCTCACATCGACGCCGAAAGATCCAACACATGTAAGATGAGGTGTACCATACTTCACTTTTCCATCAATGCTTATCTGACCATCAGATACAGCACTGGCGAATTTGGACTCCACATTCGATATCTGTATCTGGATTGACTCAATAGGTAGCTCAAGAGACGAATCGACAGTGACTTTTTCCTCACTTATGCGAAGGCCTCTTTGCTTCGCAATGTAATCCGCGTTAACAAGGTTGACAATTGTGTTTGATATGGGTTCAATGATGCCTTTTGTGATCATGGCGCGGAGTAGTCTAGTATCTAGATTGTCTGGGCCCCTAGCCGATCGGTAAACCACTTTGATCGACTGGATTCCGCTTCCTCCAGATACCAACTGCACTGCTAACCGCCCTAGTTTCTCAGCCAAAACAACATATGGAGCCAGTTCTGATAACACCTGATGTAAAAGAAGAACGATGCAGATAAATCATAGACTTTACGAGGTACTACCAATGTGAGTTATGGCTAAAACTAACTCTAATTCACAAAAGAGTAATTTTTTTTTACCTCAGGAGCAACCATAGGAGCATTGACAGCAGTTGCTGAAAGTTCACCATTCAAGGCACCAACAACAGCTTCTGCGATTTCAATAGCCACACCTTCCTAATGTGTCAGAAATCGGCGAGAAAACAAATTGGTAAGAAAATGATGTGTGCTAAAAGTAAGAAAAAAAAGGAAACAAAGTTACTAAATGAAGAAAACAAACCTGTGCTTCTTTGGTGCTGGCTCCAAGATGAGGTGTAGCAATCACATTCTCATGTTGCACTAACTTACTGTCTTTGGCCGGCGGCTCCTCGGTGAACACATCAAGTGCGGCCTACTCCACATGCAATATAATAACAATCACGATATATATATATATAGTAATTCAATGAACATGTAATATATGTTAGCGAAACACTTCATAGACTAATCCAACACAGAAATTGTTTGCACCTAAGGTGGATAGACTAATCCAACACAGGAATTGTTTGCACCTAAGGAACATGTGAATTGAAAAAGAGAATTGGAGTAAAAGGGTTAACCTGAGCAACGATTCCGCTATCAAGTGCTCTGAGTAAAGCATCTTCGTCAATAACACCACCTCTAGCAACATTGATGATTCTCACACCTTTCTTCATCTTAGCAAAAGTGTTATCATTAAAGACTTTGTTAGTAGTTGGAGTGAGAGGCATGTGAAGTGAGATGAAATCAGCAGTTGTGATTGCTTGATCAAATGAAACCAATTCAACACCAACAGCACGTGCTCTATCAGCTGGAGCATAAGGATCATGTGCTATCACATTCATTCCTAAACCTTTTGCACGTCTCGCAACTTCAGATCCAACTTTTCCAAATCCCATCACTGCTAATGTTTTTCCAACCATTGATACTCCCACATACTTGCTTCTTAGCCATTTTCCTGCAAAATTTATCAACTAACTATTATCATTCGCCCGATCTCAAATAAACTCAAGCATACAACTATGAAGTCCCGACCCAGACAAAATGTCCAACATAACAATATCAAAGATCACGTGAGTGTAGTATATCTCAAGCAAGCAATCTATCAAAATCACGTCGCGGACACAACTCAATTGCGAACTCAAGAACTATAGTATTAAATTATGCATATATAGAAACATAGATCTAGAAACTACTAGTACATGTTTGGTTTCTTGTTGAAATTGCTCTGAGCCTCTCTGATCTGCAACCAGAGCGGCTCAGGTGATTTCAACAAACCATCTGGAAAATCAAACATACACTTGATCTCGATCGAAAACATGTACCATACCGGCTTTGAGGGAAGCATCAGCCTGAGCAACATTACGAGCCATGGCAGCAAGGAGTGCAATTCCATGTTCTGCAGCAGCAATAGTATTAGCAGTAGGAGCATTCACAACAAGACAACCATATTCAGTAGCAGCTTGTAGATCCACATTATCAATCCCAACACCAGCTCTACCAACGACTTTCAACTTTCCTTTAGCAGCTTCAAACACCTTCCTCGTAACTTTCGTACCACTTCTCACAATCAAAGCATCACAGGTTGAGATCTTCGCGCAGAGCTCTTCAGGTGAAATGTCATAAGCACATACCACGTTTCCTAGTTTTCTCAACACTTGTAAACCTGCTTCTCCGAGCTTCTCGGAGACCAAGATCGTTGGTTTTTCATTTCCAACGTTGTTGTTGTTGTTGGAAATGGTTTGTGTTGTTTGTTTTGTTTGTTCAACGGTTTTTAGAACACTGTTGACCACAAAATAACGTTTTTGACATGAAAGTTTAATGTTGTTAATGTTTTTGGGGCTTAGGAATGAGAGATTGGAGATTTTTGAAGATCTTGATTCTGAAGATGATGAAGAAGACATCAAAGGTGAAGGGAAGATTGATTTGGTAGAAGCTGAAGAAGCCATGGATGCTCTGTTTTCTGCTCTGTTTTTTTCTGTTTTTTGTGTGTGTTTTTTTTGCTCTGTTTTTTGTTGAATGAATGAATTTGCTCTGTTTCTATGATTGGGGTTTTGTAAAGTTTTGAAGAGTGATTTGAGGCATTTATTATTTAGAAATGCTATATATAATATATAATATAAACCAATAATAACAATTCTAAAAAAAAATAGAGAAATAATAAGAAAGAAGGTGATGTGATGTGAGTTTGGGCGTTTGGTGGTTGGTGGAGGTGTTTGGTTTTTTTGTGTAAGTTGTGGAGGATTTTACTCATGCTATTTGTGTTGAATAATAATAATAACCATTAATAGTGTATCTTTTTGGATATTGAATAATCATCATTTATTACTCAAATAAAAAATATATTTTATTTAAGGAATAAAATGTATAAAAATAGATTCTACCATTAAAATATCATTGGTGTTAATATAAGCAATATGTATTAAGGTACTAGAATACCTAATTTCATGAGAGGGTATTGTCATGAAGCATATAAGTATTAAGTATGATATAATGATTCCTATGCGTATCACTAGGCTATGATATATCTTGTACATTTAAGCATATAGGGATTTTTAGCAGGTACATCCACTAGCCTATTGTCATATATGTATATGTATACACTATGATGATAATCATTGGGTATTCCACTATACATCATATTATTGTCATGAGGTTATATTGATACCTAATTAGGCAGGTACATGCTATATGTATAGTAAGCTAGAATTGACTCGCATAGGGGATATTTCTGTCGCCAGCTGTCGTTACTACGAAAAAGAGATGCCGACAATGACTAACAGAGTCGCCACCTATCGTTATTTATTCCAAAGGAGGGAAAGGAAACGATCGAGAAAAATCTGACGAAAACGGGAAAAGACGAGGTCGTCGCAACCAAGTCTTAGGTTCGGAAGTCGGTTACGCAAGGGGAAGGTATGAGCACCCCTCACGTCCGTCGTACTCGACGAGATCCACACTTGTTTGCTATCCAAAGGGTGTTAAACTATCTACGCTAAAAGCTTATGGACAAAAGAAAAAGAAAAGAGAACTGACTCGATAGAGCATCGCCGCTCTATGCCTACGTATTCCCTCGTGCAATGGGAAAGTCAGAGTCAACGTAGTTCGGCTAACTACGGCTAAAGAAGGGGGAAGGTTGCTCGCTAAGACATCGCGTCTTATGCCTACATATCCTCGTTTGGTACGAGAAATCAGAGCAAACGTAGTTTGGGCCAAAGAGAACACAGGTTGTTCAAAGATTTTACCCGAGTAGGGTTAACAGACAGTTCTAGCAGTTGGTGTATGCAGCTCGACCCTTGAAGACTTAGGTGTTACCGTTTGCGATAGACACTGAAAGTTAACAACACTCTTGCTTATGAAAAAAGTTTTCCTGATTAAGGGTCCCGAGGGACAAAAGGGTTTGAATTGTTTGTTTGAAGTCTTTTAAAGAAGAAGTGTTTTGAGTTTTTTCAAAGTTGATAAAAAAATATTTTTGGTGAATTATTCACATATTGGAGCTATTTTAATTAATTAAAAGTGTAAACAAAAAATAAAATAAAAACAAATGAAAATAAAAATAAAATGAGAAAAAGGGCGTGACAGATAGCAACTAAAGCAAGTTGGAAACGTTGGATTGGGCCAAAGGGGGGGGGGTCTGAATAGCACAGCGTGCAATAAGCCCAATCAGAAACAAAAACAATCAAAATAAAGTCTGGTAGTTGTGTGTGACACGGTTGACTAAGGACCACCAAAGGTCTTAATCCTGAACATTGGTTTCAAAAGTAAACACATCCTGCGCTCTACACGAGGACACGCAGGCAGTCAATGGTCAAATAGGCTGAGGATCACTCTCACACGTTGGATGAGCATACATAGTCAAAGAGTCAAGCCAGATCGTGTGGCTATGGACTCGTCTTCTTCACCTTGAAACGTAAAACACACTAGATGGTGGGGGAACAGCTCCGGCCACCGCAGGTTGCAACAACAACATAGCTTTCTCAAAACTCAACCGTTTTTTACAAACTTTACGTCCAAATCCATCTAGAGATCATGAGGATCTCATTTCCACCATCAAAAATCATTAATAACGCAAGATGAGTCCAAACCGAAACAAAACAAAAATATGCATCAAACTAAAAGTTCATCAAAACTCAAATTATTTAGTTCTAACATCATCTAGAGCTCGCGCACATCACAGATCAAGCATCAAACAAGCGAAATCGTGCACAAATAAGCCAAACCAGATCCAAACATAAATGAGCATCATCCAACAATCACAACCAATGCCAGTTCTTTTTAGTGTTTAATAATCTACATTGCTCCTATGTCTCAAGTATGCAATAATGCTGCAGAATGAAAGCTTAAAACGAGAGTTATGGTGATTTTGAATTTACCTAGTGGAGCACCTCCACTAGGTCTTATCTTGAGCTGCAACTCTGAACAAACCACCCATAACTGTTCCAAATGCCTTGAGGAAGCTCTTGGTTAACTTAATTTTGCTTGAGATTGTGTGTAGGTCAGAAAACGATTTTCAAATTGCTCTCTCTTTTTTCACTTGCTATTTTTGCACAACCTTCACCAACACGAATCCTCTAGGTCTAGGAATGTTTCTGATGTTATATATGTTGGGTTTGGATGGAAATGGAGCTTCAATTTAAGCCACAAAGCCCAATTGCAAATTCATTTTTTCTTACTTTTTCAAGTTGCTACACGCATGCTTTTCCACTACACCAGCTTGAATTTTGATTCAAATCCACTCCAAATCACCTGAGTTGATCAAAGGGCTAAGATTTAAGGCTTGGTTTTGATCTTAGGGTTGATTTCCATTTTGTTACTTCAAGAGGAAGAAACCATGAAAATGGCCAATTTAGAGACCCCAAATTTCCAATGTAAAAATGGCAATGTCTTTGAATCATTGTTTGCAAACAGAAAATGCACAAATTTGCCATGAGAAAGTTCAAAATCAATTAAATATGTTTTTCTCATTTTAAGTCTTCTTTATGAAAAAGTCAAACATCTAATCTTTAATCTAAGCTCCATTCATGACTTCTCAATGTTTGGAGAAAGTTTCATGTTGGAAAAAATTCCATTTGAAGTGTGCAAGTTGGTGAAATGGACCTATAATTTTATGACCTATAATCTTACTTTCCCAAAATACCCTTGCCTTGCCAAACTCATAACTTGAGTTCTACAAATCAGATTGAGGACTTCTAGGACTTTTTGGAAAGCTGAGATCATAAGGAACAACTTTGATATTCACTTGAAGTTGAGGAAAAACTTCCTTCTAGGTCAAAAGTTGCATGGAAGTTGGTTGACTTTCACAGATAAAATTCACATTCATCTGATGACCTGTAACTTGTCTGGATCATAACTTGAGTTCTATAAATCCAACCAAGGACTTCTAGTACTCAAATTAAAGCTAAGAACATGATCTACAAGTTCCATGTTGGTTAAAAGTTGAGATGAAACTTGTATATTGAGGTAGGTGGTCTTGAAGTCAGGCACTAAATAGGGAATTTTACCCTGAGAACCCTAATTTAGTAACTTCTCACACATTTGATCCTTGATGAATTGATCTTGAAATGATATATTAGACCTCTCAACACAACATACCATGACCATAGAGACTTGGAATTGAGTTGTAACCTCCTTCAATTTCACAGTTAACTGGGTATTTACCAGATGAAAACCATAGATGCCACACTCTTGCCTAGGGCTTGTTCCACTTCACACAACAACTTGAATAAACTCCAAATGACTCTCAAAGCACTCCATGAGCTCTCTCAACATCTCATACCCATAATCATGCATTCACAAATCCCCTGATGCTCTTCAGTTGGCCTCCAAGTTAGGAGCTGACCCATACACATCCATCAATCCTTTCACAAGACTGTTGACCACTTCCAGATGTCCTGATGACCAATTAAGCTTGAGTGACACCCCTTGCTTAGGCTCAAACCCCTGAGAAGGCTTCTCTTGATATACACAATCACTTGATCCCCTGTGCAATGAAACATGATATGCAATGCAAATGCTAGAACCATGTAATGAAACATAAACCAGGTAAAGAAAAAGGTTGAGCAAATTTTAGGGTACAACACCCTCAAGCAGTCTTAAAATCAAGATGATAAATGTATATATACTAAAAATACTTTAGTGGATTAACTATATATTAATGCTACTATTATTTTAAACATACCAAATTAAATAAAATTTAGATAAAAAAATATGTTGTCTAAACATGCTAATAATATTACTATATTTTGAAAATGATAAACAAAGTTATTCTAAATTATATTAAATAACCGAATAATACAAAATACTATTTATACTGTGTAATCAATAACGTTCTTTAATAGGAAGACCGAACATTAAATCTTTATTCTGAGAAGTTTCTTTTTCTTGCCATTGTTTTGCGTATTAAATAAAAAATGTAAGACTCTCGTATTAGAATTTTTTTAGAGAAAAATAATAGTGAAATTAAGAGTAATTAATGTAATATAGTAGTATTTTTTTTAATCTGGTAAAGATTTGAATTAATTATTCATACATCCTTTTATCAATGCGCTATTAAGCTTTAAAAAACTACAAATAAATATCTCTCTATATAATATATTTTTTTCTATTTTAAATGAAATATTTAATATTTTTTTAATCATACATTTAATTTTAAAATTTATTTTGGTTCATTAACTTTAAAAAAAAAAATCCTTATTGATCTATTAGTTCTTCAAAAAGTATTATGTTATTATTTTTGGTTTAATTAAAGACGAATTTAGCAATCAATTTTTGAATTTTTGTGTGGCTATTAGACGAAAATGATATATCATTTCACCTAAAGAGAGAGTATTTATAATTTGGTTATGACATAAAACATAGATATTAATATATATATTTTTAGGGTTTAAAAATAGTAGACTGTAAGTACATTCACATAAATATTTAACAATATATAAAGCCAATATATAAGCCT